GTCAGACTCAAGTAGGCAATTTTATGGGATCTCAAGCCCGACTGAGAATGTGGAATTAGACACTTTGGGGGGTCCTGGAAGACCTATTGAAAACTTATTCGTGTAATAAGGCCTTTTTTCCGCAAACTAGGTCGTTGACCAATCATTATCCTATGGACCGAGTAACCAGCCAGCTTCGTGGCTAGTATCCATTGATAAAAATGAATGCTTTGAAGATTGATTTCTGAATCAATTGATGTTACAAATGTCTGCTGTGTCTTATGGGTACTTGATAGGTGGATCGCAAGCGAAGGAATGGTGTGATCTAGATGGTAATGTTTGCATCTTGAAGCAGCGGACATGATTTAAAACCTTGCATGAGAAAAAGTATATCTAGGAGTAAGACCTCTACTCAGGTTAATGTGAGTATCTAAATTATCAGTCACCGAAGCGTTAGCTCTAGCTCCTTAGGGTTTTAAGACTCACCCTCAAGATCGGCTTATCGTAAGGACCGGCTGATCTCGGAGTCCAGGATGAGCAGTTATGTTGTCTAGCCAATGGGCCGACGGAAACAACGACGCCGGCGGCATCCCTGCCTAATACTAAGGCATTGGGATTAGTAGCCTCGCCAAGATCGAACGCGGTAGTAGAGCGGGCAGTAGCGGGACCAAGCAAAGAGGCTCAATGTTTTGATTTTGGTGTCAGTGTTGATTAAAAATAAAAATAGTGCAATTACAAATAACATGTAGCTTACTACTTGTACAAGATCATACGCCAGCCTTCATGTGCACATAAAATGCGAATGATTAAGAACATGTATGCAAAATAGATACCCGTTCTGTTTAGTTAGCAGATAATCAAGGGAGAAGTGTATGCACAAATGTGTACCCTCGCACAGGAATATGCGATAACAAGTGCTTACAGATGTTCAACCAAACAATTCTACAAAGCACATGTATATTCAAATAGATATGTATGCAAGAGTACGTCGGTGTGAGTTTTCCGATTTTGAGGCGTTAACATAAATGTACCTTTAAGTGTCGATTTATGCGTTCTTATGCAGTTTTATGCATTCATGTTAGTGATTATAAAGAAAAAAGCTGTCAATGAGGCAGTTCCAGACATCCTAACTAAAAGAAAAGACATAGAGACTGAGTCTGAGACAAGCATCAGAGAGCAACCTAGAAATAAGGTAAGAGGAAATTTTATCGAATCGGACTAATTGTACAGATTCATGAGATTGATCAATGACATCAGCCCCTTGATTGCACTTAACTAAGGGTCATGCAAATGCATATGATTTCTAAAGAGAGCCTGATCCTTAAGGAAATAATAAGATTATTGTTTACGTGAAGGTATAAATTAAGACTTAGGGCAAAAGGCGAGCTCGGCTATCTCAATAGTTCCGAGCAATAGTAGAAATTGATGATGATATCAAGAGATAAAAGATGTGCTGATGTGTGCGAAGAACACAAAAATGTTATGGAAAAAGAGCTTGAATTTACCATAGGAGGTGATCAAGGGAAGATAGTCACGAACGAAGGTAAAAGCGACTCGTCCATATCCGGAAAGCATCATGAGGTCAATCGGATTGAGGGAAGAGGCATTGACACGGACCAGAAGTTGGTCAGGCCGCGTCACTGGTGGACGAAGAAGCCCGGTCTCAAGGTATAAGTCGTCAGGGGTTTTCGGCCAGCGAAGCCTCGGGTCGACTCTCCAGGCCGCCATGTAGGTAGGGAAGCCATCTGGAGCTAAGTTTTGAGTTCGAGTCTGAGATGAAGGTGCTGTTATCGGTGGGGAGAGTTTGTTGGAAAGGGTAGGTGATGTGATGGGGATGGTGGATTGATGGAAAAATGTCGCAGGGCTGGTAAGCCTTAAATAAAAGAGGAGAAATAAGGAAGATCGAAAAATACTTGGTGAGAAGAAATTAGAACCGTAAGTAGAAAAACTCGCCCGATCCTGGTAAGAGCTCCAACTCCTGCTAAAGGCTTTCCATGAGCCAAAAGGCTTTATTGAAATTATTGGTTCATGTCTGACAGCAAAGCACACTGGGAAGTTATGCAGAAGACGTCTAGAGATCCCCAAAATATGCGGAAATGAAGAGACAATTGGCCGATATAAAACAAAAATACGTCCGCCTCGAGAAGCCATTATTTTTCGGCTGAATGAGGAATGGTTTGTAGTATTTTTGTATCGTTGCACTTATTCGGCCTCTGCTGTAGTTGTAGAGAATCAAGCTGATTGGTGCGCGATTGCATAAAAGAAAAGATTTAATACACTAAATTTTGTGGATAAAACCTAGAATGACAGAGCAAAGAATTAAATTATGTAGACAAGGACAAAAGATTCACTCTGTACAGAAACTAATGGTTGCTGATAAATTGTGACAACTAAGATGACTGGAGTCAGAGCTTTCACTGCAGAGTGACTCCTTATCAATCAGCAGTGCTTTGAGAAAGCTCCGAGAGATCTCCTAGTAAATATATAGACGAGTGATGAAAAATGGAACAAACTCTATACAATGTAGATGCAATGGTATAACAGCTTTATCCAAAAATATTACATCATCTAGTGGTGGTTTAGTATCAAATGTAGGACATGAAGTAAATAAAAAAATTTGCATAACTGCTAAAACGAGTAGTCTGACAAAAAGAAGTTAAAAAATTACATCGGGAGAATTAAGTTTGCAAGCGTGCTAACAGGAGGGATCGGCAAAAAGTAGAGCAATCAATTTTATATTGATTCATCAGACAACCACGCAAACGAGTATTTTCGATTCGTTAACTTGAATACAATTGTAAGGATGATGTTCTGATGATGCCTGCCATGCGATGGCCGAAAGCTTAGCATGCTTTTGCAGGAATCGAAGGAGATTGCCTCGGAAATAGCGTCAGCAAGAATGCTCCAGTAAAGGTAATCGACAGCTGGTCAAAAGGAATCCGCCGTCGTCTTCTGGTGGAGCCAACCTTCAATCTTTTAATTAGCCTCTTTCACTCGAAATGGAAATAAGCTCAACAATTATAAAAATCAAATAGCTATTGTCGACAGGTGACTTTGTGGACATTGCAATGCAATCAGGCTGGACAGAGATATCGAAGCACGATGCATAAATACAACATGGATGCAATGACAAAAAATGTCCCTTGATGAGCATAAAGAGCAAGCTCCAAAACTGACTTTTACTTGGAACTGTAGACACCTTAGGTCACTGTAAAAGATATAAGGTATGAAAATCTAGTTTTCCTAGATGAAATGAATATATATAATATATATCATCAAAGTCCGTTTACTCTACTATTCAAGGGGCTATATAGAATCGTTTGGACAGCTATTAAGGCTTCAGGATTTCTGTGAAACAGGAGCGAAGGATAGGGACTAAATTTACAAGAGCCCCACTGAATTAATTCATCTTATGTGTGTGTTACCGTAATACAACACAAAAAATTTCCTTTCCAGAGACTAAGCATACTTATTAGTATAGTGTTTGAGCCAGATTGCCAAAAGCTAGCATATTAAACCTGCGTACTTGATGAAGAATGGGTTCTTATCAATATGTTACGTAATATAAGAATTGAAGAGGAACAGAATTATTACCGGCGAATAGTGATTGGCCTAGATACATGAGGTAATAGAGCACACAGTATAGCATATAAATCTTGGCCCAGTTTGCTCAAGATCATTACAAAGCTTCTATTTAAATAGACCTTTTGAGGACAGGAAACCCTACTTCTACCTCTGGTTATAAAGCTGATCCGGAAGCTTGAAAGGATCTGGGTGAAAAGCTAACCTTAACAAGTTATTTAAATAGGGTAAGCTGGAGCTTTCAGATGGGAGGTTAAGAAAGAATTTGTCAGGAAAATACTAGTCAATGTTGAACAAAGATGTCGAAACTGACGATCATCAAATGTGGTGGATAAAAATAGTACAAAAGCGAATCGTGCATCCTTTTTACCCGTAATTCTATCAATAAGGTATATGCAGATATGAAGACCAAAATGTTTTGGTCTCTATTTTGATCGCAGTCTTCTTTGGATGTATACAAATGGTTTAACCTTGTTTTCTCAACTTGGTAGTGTTGTTGAGGAGACCTAGCTGTACACACCTTGTCCCTACGTCGGCGGTTAGAGGCGCTCTGTCATAGTAGTTATCATTATTTCCCGCGTTCAAACTTGGATTTTGTACACTCTAAACTCATCATAAAAGTGCATCTCTTGAGGAACAGAATATAAACAAGTTAGAAGTTGTGATAGGACGAGAGTGAGATAAGAGGGTAGGTAGTAAATAGATTGGTCGGGAAAGGAGTGATACCACGACTACGGACGGAAAGTTGATCAAAGGATTGACTTCACTTGTCCTTTTGACTAGTTGTAGCTTAGTTCTGAGAATGGCAAGACCCCTGACGATGACGGCGAAACGTCTAGAAGTGCACCAAATCCAACGTACAGCCCAACGCTAAGAATAATGATAACTACTATTGCATAGGACTTCGGCCAAAGCGTAAGTCGTTTTTATCTTCTTACCGGTATTGCCTAATCAGATGATTTAATTGGCCTCCCTGACCTTACGCTTAGCTGAAAGCATACCATAATTAGCAAAACGAAAAGTGTGAGGTCATTTAGTCCTTTCTAGTTTCTGCTATGTGTTCTGCTAGCTCCGGTCATTAAACACAAGTCTTTACAATCAGTTTTACGCCCATCCAGCCCTTATTGACCCAACATAAAGGCTACCACATGAGTACATTATTTAATATCATCCTGAGCTGGATAAGAGGGGTCAACTTTGTCGCTAAAAGTGGGCACAACTGAAGAAAGTATGATAGTTTCCTGTTGTATCCACAAGCATATATGGTAAAATGGAAGTAGCCAATCAAATCGAGATCGTAAAATCAGGTATGATTACAGTCTTAGTCTTACATTGGAGTGCATTTATAAACGATGTTTTCTGACTGACGATGTCTGCAGAGGTGAAACAGACGAAAACTCAGCACAAATCCATCGTAATCATTGGGCCTATAAGTTATTCATACAATCCAAGTCTCTCTCCGTTTTCTGATAAATACAATTCACGATTCAATCCCGATCAAATTTTACTTCAAAATGAAAGTTGAATCGTGCGTTTAACAAATTAAATCATGAAGGCAGTTCTCCCATTTTTTATATAGAAACCCAATTCTCACCCTCGCGATGAAGACCGTAACGATGATTATTTTGAACAAGGCAACCTACAATGCCTTTCTCGCGCAGCTCGTGGACTCAAAACATGCGAGGCTGCTGACAAAGCCTGGGTTGTCGGAATTATAACCAATCCAAGCTGGGCAATTCTCTTAGCAGAGCACAGCGAATTCGGACATGCAGGCTTGGGAAGTTGTTCCGTGAAAACTACAATAAATTAATGA